AATTGCGGGATGAAAAGTTGTTTTCATTCGAATGCTAGGCAAAGGCTTACGACACGGGAGAAAGAATGGAAAAACTCCGAGAAAGAATTAAAGGGCTTAGCCTCCATCTGCATTCCGAGATCTCCTTTTTCTATCAAACTTCAAAGATATGGGGATTTTTTGAAACTCCGCGCGTTTCATTGAAATAGTTTCCGTTCGATTCTCTGCGCCTGTTCGAACATTAAGGAACTTTCGTACCAGTTGATTTATCGCGACGGTATACTAATTTTCACTGGATATTTGTATGAATCGAAGGATTCGCCACATTTTTCTAGCCTTGATTAAGATTGCTTCAAGTGCTCCTCCGTTAATTTCTGGCACGATTGTCCTTTCGTTTTTCGGGTGCTGAACAGTACCACAAAAATTCCTCTATCGAGGTATCAAACTTCGATGTATTCAATGTTCAAAGTTTCACTCACATTCTGGAAAGTTTGCGACTCCATTATGATTTGGGAAGATCAACTCTGGTATCGACCGATTTTCCGTTAATGCGTTCACAATGGCGCTGCTATTCGCCATGGGGCGGCGAGAGGGTGCACGTTATCTGATAGACACGCGAACGCGAGCCACCGGTGGTACGCGCCGGCGTGAACGTGTTGAACAATTCCAAACGAACCGACGAAATCGTCGTCGTGTTCCCGACGAGTTTTCTCGTGAAGCATACAAACGACAGACTTTTCGTCCGAGTTTCTCCGCAAAATTATTGAAATTGTCCGTAACAAAGACTCCCTCCGCGCGGAACGAACAAGGAATACGAGTGGCCGAACGGCAGAGAGTCGTTCGTCACGGCTTCGTGTTCAATTACACGACGTGCTTGTGCACCGTGCTCTCGATTAATTGCGCACGCGATATCCCTCGATGCAGTTTTCTCCGGGCCGCCGCGTAATTATCAATTAACTCGCCGCCTCGTTAAGTGGAACCTTTAACGACATTATTCCGCGGACCTTCGCGTGCACAGGGTTCGTCCACCGTTATCTACTTTCATCAAAATAATTGCGCGACCGAGAGAGGCAAGTTTCGACCTCTGATTTTTCCTCCCCCATCGACCGTCGCCCTTTTTCACTTTCAGAAACTGTTAACGAATGCAATGGAGGGAGAGCGCGTAATTGGACGCAGGGGTCTCGGAAGGTCCCATCGAAAACACTGGTTACACAAAATTCACAGAATTCGCGCACACGCAAAAGTTGGAGAGATTGAAAATCTAGCTGTCAATATTTTGTAAGGTTATTTACTGCATTAGTATCAACGCTACAAATTTACTACAATTTTTTGTCATTTATTCTCCGAAATCTACATCACGAGTCGACTTCGCTATCCTCGTTAACTTCGTGTGACTTCGTTCTCCTTCGTGTAACGGACTAGCGTGACATACATATTTATTCTGTTACTACCCACCAATTTCATAGCCTCACGGTATTTTTCGCCGTATACACGAGTTTCGAGTCTTCGAAAATAAAAAGATGTTCGATCTTAAAATTCTGCGATGTGTGTCGTTAAATTGTTAACAAAATTGTACGGAGCTGCGTTGAAATATTGACATAGGCGATGCTATATGTCACTTTTGCTTGGATCACTTTTGTAACGTACAGTCGTCACATTCAGAAGCGAGACGAGCTTTCTTTGGCGACTAAATATGCAAAAAATAAACTCTCATGCTTTTCCCACGCGATCTCGGAATATTTTACCATTAAAAGAACGAAAATTTGGTGCATTCTAAATTCATATTGGGAAAGTTCCGCGACAACGTTATCGGTTTTTTTCTGCATTCGAATGCCCATAACGAGCCACGTTCCCAACAAGTTCGCCGGGCTCGTTAGTCTTTGACCAGTACCTTCCCAGACGATGTATCGATGGTTTTCAGGGAACTACGTGTTTCCAGGCCGTACGCCGAGTGATTTCCTATTGGATGGGCTCGGTACTTGGTCGTTACTTGGAAAAACACGCGAAACTTTTGCGATTACTTAGAGGCACATCGCTTTCCCTAATTTTTACGCGTGTTACTTCGAGAAAATCGGATATAGAGAATGCTTCTATTAATATTAGTTTGTCTGGAAAGTCCGTGGCGATTTTTGATAGATGCTACACGTCTGTTTATATCGGAATGGTTGAAAACAATCAACATATGTGCATCCGTTAAAAGGTGGAAAGGTCGTGGAACAAAATGGTATTTGTATAATTGAATAAATATATATCAAAATTCAAACGTGCCTTTGAATTATTCTTAAAAATTGCCACAAACTTTCTGGACAACCCAATATATATACGAAAATTTGCTCTTCTCGTAATTAATTGTCTCAATGTTTTCCGCTGTTTCTCTCAAGTATGTCCGTTAAACCAAGCACAGCGAATTCGTGGGACCAGCAGAGGGTGGCATGAACGATTCAACGACGAGAGTTGAGAGCTCTAGGGCGAATTTTGATATGGTTCTCGCGCGCTGGAACGTTCTCGTACCTTTAACCGTTTAATCGAACGGTGCACCGAGCGCCAAGTCCTCGAATCTTAGCACCGAAATGGTTAATGGCTTGTACACAATGTGCGCTGCACACTGGCGGCGTGCAGCCCCATACCGAGTGGCAAAAAACACATTTGTCGATTTGCACCCTCGAGGGTATTGCTTTGTATTTCCCTCGAGTGGACCTCAAGTGCTTCGCTATAATCCTTCCACCGAGTACACTTACGCTATACAAGGTGGCTCGCAAAATGTGATGCGTTAAAAGGTCGAATGAAATAAAAATAGGAGTTTCATACGGGTTCGCTTCCGAATTGACTTTTATTGAACAGCGTTCTCTACGTTTGTTCCGTTGATCGGTCTCTGCTCGATAGAGGTGAACGACGACCGCAGTCGACATCGCCGAAGAAGTTGACCATAATTGAATCGACGACGCTATCGGCAGGCATATCGTTTCGACGAAAATATCGAAGTGTTCGCGACGGCGTGGGCGCGGCGTCACATGAAAAGGTTAACGGTGCCCCACATCGCCATTAATAAATGAACGTATGAAAATCGATAGACCGGCCGCCGTAGATACGGGAGTTCACCGCACACAAGTTGTAGGTGCTGTTTTCTCGTTCTACGACGGCCTGTTGTATTTTTAAGCGAGCCCCTGTCCGTTTTCGATCGCCGCCCTTCCCAGGTTAAAGTTTCTCCAAGATTCATCGGCCACGATAACGAAAGACGTCCCCCACGGAATAAGATCCTCCTTTTTATCTACATTTTTCACGCGAATCAAATTTGAGATTAAAAAAAAAAAAAAAAAAAAAAAAAAGATACGCGGCTCCTGCATCGACAGTATCGCGGCCCAAATTCGAATAATTATTCGCAGCGCGAAAGACACATGAGCCTAAAGCTTTTGCAAATGGATTATGGAGAAGCCCCAAGCATCGACCTGTCTGTCTATCTATCGAAACCTTGCAGCATGTTTTAATTGGTACAATGAACGCCTGATACAACGTTGAAAATGTTTCGCGATCCGTCTGTTTAAATAAATAGCATCGACGACCGTGCACCGTTTGTTATTTAACAATTTAATTCACGATGACCATTTGCCGACTACTAGTCCTAATCCAGAATAGATTATTTAACGTATAAACGTATTATTAAATACACCGTAAAGCCAATTAGAGGATCTGACATTTAAGCGACTTTATCGTTAAGCTATCCACTGCTTTACAAGCCCCGCTGTATAAATTCGATACTCGTTGAAAACGTCGATGCATTAAACGTACTTTTATACCATTCGTTCTCGATGTTTGGTTGATTTCCGCCAAGTTGCCCCGGAAGACGGTTCTCTAATTATTTCGAGTAGCGCAATTACACTCGTCGAGTGGAAAATGAACGCGCGAAGGCCACCGGTTCACGTGAAAACTCGGCCGTAATAACAACGAACAACCATTGTCGTCATTTTTCTTTGTCTCTATGTCGAAAAGAAATGAAAACACTCCGAAAGAGTGTGCACGCGTCGAGATTGTTTCACCTCTAGGCGGAATCGCGTTGTCTCGTCTGCGTTTCTGCCAGCGTCCGGCACTATCTGGGTTAAGTAACTAAATCAATCAACTCCGAGGAAGCAGGACAACGCAATTAGCGACGTTCCGCGAATCTGTCGTGTTTAGAATTAATTTCTGCTGAAACGATACGGATCGGTGAGTCGTTTCCCTTTTTTTCAAGTAAGCCTAGCAAGAATCCGTGGCATTCCGAAAAATTGCTAAAGCTGGCAAAAGGAGTGAAAAATGTTGAGAAATGCTGGTTGAACGCCGCTCCGGAAAACGTTCATTCCTCCCTTTCACTTCGAGGACTAATGGGAAATTCGCGGTGGCTAAGACGCGCTATTTAGTCCCGTTTTATTGGCACCCTTACGGAGCCACCTAACATTATTTCTCTTTTGTGTCGACGACGTCCATTCACCGAGAGCGGATCGATCGACGTCCGTTGAAACTGTTTTCAAAAAAGAGAGGAAAAAGGGAGAAAGAGGATAAATCGTCTCTAGTCGTTCCGTGGACCGATACGCATCGTCATTGTACTCGATTGTACGTGAGACCGGCCGACAATACCACCTGTGTTTTATGCGATGCGTTCGAACGAAACGTTCTTGTCACCCGCAGATGCGACTTTTTCTACCCGTTGGAAGTGTATACAACGTTTCAGATGACGGCCGTATTTAGATTTTATTGTGAATCTAGCTCCGGCCGCGTCCATTGTTCTCGCGACCTAACGATTCTTTCGATATTGTCGCAGACAACCGGCGAATGGAAATTTACGTTGAATCGACCCCTCGAGCTCGATTGCCGCCCTCGAGACGAGTCTACGGTTTCGTTACGAAAGCGGCCTATTTGTTAACTCTTCGCAGCCAAACGTTCCTAACGCTGCTTATTTTAAACAACTTTCTCTTTAAAATATCATTTATAACTAAAAATCATTCCGTCGCTGTTCCGTACTGACCTGTCGCGTTAATTGTGCATTGCAGCAGCTCCATTCAGAGTATAGGAGCACTTACACATGGCACGAGTACACTGGGCCGCACCAAGAGCATACCGTCGTCCGTCGAGCGCCGCAACCACCGCCGACGTCGAGTAAGTTAACCAGTATTCGTTTCTTTATTATTCCTTTCTATATCGCATACAGGTTGTTCCACGCGGCTGAATCGAGTTGCGTCGTTCCAATGGTTCGGGATAGCCGAGAGAATACCGTCGGATGAAAGCAAACAACTGTGACAGACCACTAACATAAAAATATAGAGAGTGGTGGAAGTTCAAATAGTGGAAGTTCAAATACTATAATTGAAAATATTAGGTCGTCCTAAAAATTCGTGCCGTTTATACTTCTATTTCTCAAATTAATATGTTAAACATACTCTTTAAACGTTACAAGAAAAGATAATCTGTCTCATTTCACAATAGCTTCTCACCTCTCTCACATAGCCATTATACCGTTACTAGAAAATTTCTGTGATTTTTTTATTAAATATCGACACAGTCTTCGGCACGAACTTATGGGACGACCTAATACGATTATATGATATATTAATGATATTTCAAGAGTCACTGTGACCATGTAACTCTGTTTCGCGAAATTCTTTGTCTATTTTAAAGCCGTTTGGACGACGCAGCTCGATCCGATCGCGTGGAACACTCCGTATAATTTCTTCTTTTCACGATCTAGCGAAATCAGTCTTGCGATCAGTACGATAGTCTCATTAGCTATATCGTCGCATAGTTGGCTCGGCGCGATGTCTGAGCAAAGAGATAGACCAACGAAAACGTATCGATTACGCGACCCGAGTAAAACGAGAATTTGCTCAGGTATTCGTGCCATGCTGGTTTAAAGTTAATTGTCTCCATGAATTCATTAGAATCATACTACCAAGCCGCGAGCGTGAAAAAAAAAAAAATAAGTATCGTAGCTGCTTGACGGTCGAAATTGCGAATCGTTCTCAAGTTCGCCAAGCGAAACGATCGGCGTCGACTTCGCCGCGGGTGATAAAATATTCGCGAAATTTGCACGCGCGGGAGCACGTCCGGCCACGGTGTTTCCGTTCCCGCGTTCGTATTCTCTCTCTCTCGAACGTTTTTACGCGACGCTTTCGCTAGTCGACAAATTGCTCGTCGAAACGTCTAGCCGTAAACGAAAGAACCGAGGATTAACGTAAACTGGACCACGTGCCACGTTTTGCCAGGCAACCAGGAAACAAAATTCACGCTCGTCTCGCCCGGATGATTCATACTTATCGACTTGTTTCTTTGTTTATTATTTATTTATCTTTATTTTCATATTTTTCTCCCTTCTTAGTATTTGTAAAGGTGTTTAGTGAGTTTTCTTTGATCGTGCTGCCACTCGTATACATATATATCGTCTCGATATATCGCACATGCTCTGTCGTCGTGTTTCACATCCCTCCGCCCCCGGGTTCACACCACGCCATGTCTCACCCTCGTGACTCGTATTCGTGTCATAAGTATGTATAATATTTTCTCTCGCTACGTCTATATCACACTCCGAGTGTACACGTATCTATATGCAGGGTGAGCAAAAGATGTTGTAGCACTTTCAAGGAAGAACGATGCGTTCAGGATTCGTCGCCATACGAACGTAGTTACGATGCAAGAAGAACAAAAATTGCGAAGCGTCGCATCTTTCCTTTATTTTGTCTCGCGTCCGTTTTGAAATTGATAATACTCGCGTATATTTTGCGATTGTTCCGTTCGTTCGGCACCGTAACAATTTCTCTGGCGCATCCTGCGCGTATACACTCGTTCGATCGTCTCGATGTTGTGACACTACATTCCGATTTTTCTCACGTTTTTTTTTCTAATGTTTTCCGTCTCCGACAACCGACGTCTATGCGAACGCTTACCCAACGAGTAGAACACTCGCCTAGATTCTCCGATGCGGACAGGTTCCCGAGTGCACGGCTTGTTTTACACTCGATTCGCTCCGTGCCTCGATCGGAGTCGGAAATCTCGAGACGGGCGCGACGAGCCCGCCGCGGCCCAGCTATTCTCCGCGATACCGTGAAAATAATTACCCTCGTCCAGTCGAGCTTATCGAGTATCGATAACGAAGGTAGATCATTTGCAAAACAATTCACGTTCGATTTGGCAACGAGTTCGCCACGACGACGATGCGGCATCGAAAAACGAAACGGGTCACAGGACTAGACGGCAAAAATGACGGGAACGGATGTAGAGGGGAGAGCGGGAGAGACAGAGACAGACGGTAAAAAATAAGGGAAATAGAAAAGAACATCGGTGCCAGCTGCGAATTTTGATTGCAGCGACGCAAGCGAGCGCGAAGCTACAATCGGCCAAGTCGACCGAGGATGAGAACAACGAAGGTAAGACGAACGATCGGAGCTACGCAAACATCTCTAGATTATTACGGTTTATTTCGCTCGTTTTTAGCCCCTTATTCACGCCCCTCGGGGAAATTTCCGCTGGCCTTGCTCCATTTTTGTTCTCCCTGCTCGCCCTTTCTTCCTCGTTTTGCGCGCGCGCAACCCTACGAACCAATTAACCCTTCTCGTAACTTTCGCTTTCAGAGATCGCTAGATACCTTCCTCGCGAGGCTCTGAGGCGATCCTACCGATTCGTCGATACGTCGACGCGCCAATTTCCCGGCTCGAAGGGTTCAAAGCATGCTTGCTTGCGTTGCATCCATCCTGCGTTCGGACTTGCTTCCCGCTGACGCTTCCCTAATCACGAGTATCGACCAATCCCCAGGTCCAGACTCTGTCGTTTTCGCCGTATCAATCGACACCGAACCATCTAAACTTTGAAAATTTTAACCGAATCGTATCTACGATCTCTAACCAGTTCGTACAATTCAAGAAATTCAACGACTCGCGTTTGGTTGACGTTCCGCGCGAGTCGTTCGTGAGCACCGATTGGTAATATTGCTCCCGAAAAGGTATGCTTACTCCAGAAACGGAATGCTTTCGCCTTTGACGGAAACTCGGCGTCCTGGATGAATAAACCTTAGCGAGAAGTCCAACAATAGACAGGAAAAAATCTATCACGGCTACGAACACAATGGACGCGACTGCTTCCTTTTGCTAGCCGTATAACGCGGTGGGGAATTGCCTCTCGACGTTGCCAGCCGGATCACTTCGACTCGAAACAGACGAAAACGTTTTGCTTGTTGGAGCGAGTATACGTAACGAATAGCACGATACAGGAGAGCTCACGAATTTTCCCACTTCGCTAAACTTAGAGCCTTTGATGACGGTCGCGACGATCTGTCGCGTAAAAGTGGAAAACTATGGAACGATGAAAGATTGCCGGTCGCATTCGTGCATAGGGACGGTTAGCTTTTTACGTGTCGTTTCTCTCACAGAAATGGAAGAATGTAACGACGGTAGATTACCGGCGTCGCTCGAGGCAAAACGGTTCTTAACGTGAAAAGTTCTTGAAGCAGCTGGTAAAAACATTCTCCAGCCGTGATACCAAAGGCGACGATACCGTGATGGGAAGAACAGCGTGGACCACGTCTAAATGTTTAACCCTTTGCTCTCGGATGTCCCCTTTAATGAACGACAAAAGTCAAACTCTAAACCAAATCAAAATGTGGTACACAGTCGGTTCCATAAGTATTACCCTCTGTATCTATTCAAGAAATTCGTCTTAATTTTAATGATAGGCTTCACTTTATATGTACATGAATGAACTTCGCACGCGTACATATTTACAATTCAAAATTTATTTGTACGCGTGAAGCATTTATTTAAATTGGACAAATTTTTTTTAATAAATATCGAGGGTACGAATACTTACGGGACACCCTGTATATACCGAGAAACATTCTGGAGCACCCTTAAAAAGCATACGAACACGATAAAGAAACAAGCCCAAGTTCATACCTTGAAGGAAGACGTTCTCAATGTACATCGACGACTGTTTCGTGCGTTACGGTAATTTACACAATTCCAAAGTGACGCAATTCGATGTTCCGAGCGCAAAGGTTTGAATCGCTCCCTCGAATCATCCCGACGTCCTTCCCTCTGAGTTTTGCGACGAGTCTCGTGCGAATGCTCATCCGTCCGTCGATGTGCGAATGCAACCCTTTACGCAGGCTGTGTTTAAGTTGCATCGACTATCCTTGGACGTTTTGTAGATAGGAAAATTTTATGCTCGTTGCTCGGCGACGCGAGCCGATCGAGCCACGGAAAGGTACCTGACGTCTGTAACGATCGTAAAAGGAGAAAAAGGGGGCTTCCCGTGTTTCACCGAGAAACGGATCTCGCCGAGACGAAACCGCGCGACGATCGAAGGTGCATTTCTCGAGAAAGCCATCTCTGCGATATTATCGAGCCGAATCGGCCGAAGGACGTCTCCATTTTTGTCGCGGACACTTTACCGAACTCCCGCTTGAAAATTTACACCGACAACCCTTATCTTCCGCCCGAGTAGATACCGCCTAGATAGAGCACGATGCGCTTCCGCATTTATTCGCACGAAAGTTTGCACACCGCTCGCGCCTCTGCGGACACGCCATATGCAACATTCAGCTCTACGACATTCCGCGATTGAGTTCCCGAACTCCTCGACCGTCAACTTCAAACTTCCCCTCGTCGGTAAACAACGAACATAATACCAGTCCACGCTGAATTATTTAATTCCGCGAAAAAGATTGTTACGATCCTCGGAGGTATTAAACGATCATATATCTCGTCCTCTCTCACTTCTTCGTCCCTCACGGTTTAGCCGGGGCGTTTACGAAAAGCGATCCATCGAGTTAAAAAGTTTCGAACGAACCAATTACCTAGCCCGCGTGAAAAGAAGTCTCTCGTCAGTTACGTAATTACTTCTCCCTTCGTGCAAAGAGACAGCTTCCTCCTCGATTTCGATCGTGCATCGTCGCCGCGCATTCCCGTCGATAGAGCAAGTAGAATCGCATTTCAGTTGCGCATCCGCGTTGAAAGCCATTCTCATCGTTCGAAGATGCGAACCAGGCTCGCAGCTACCGCATCCCGCCGCCTGCACGAGAATGTTTTTCACGGTGCTTGGCTGTGTCTCTGTGCAAGACCTCTTTCAGACGAGACACTCGGTAGCTGACGAACACCGAAGGGCAACGAACCGATTACTTGCACCCTGACGCAACGTCGAACGTTTTGTGGTCGTTCTCCGCTCTCCGCTGCTAATTTCGATTGTGTTCCGAGGAAAAGCGAGTCGCGGGAGTATTCGTACATCCTGATTTTTATTAAAATACTAGCTGCGCGGAAAAGAAACATTTCACCCGCGCGGAATGCTATTTTTATGCTATAACCAAGCGACGCTTTTTCTTCCCACTTGATTTACAAATTTTTAGATTTCGAATTGAGAACGTATTACATGCGAACAGAGGATACGAGTACTGCTGTGGCTCTCCGCATAGAGGTCTATTTACACATATCCGTATCGTGTCAGTTCCGTATCCGTTCAGTTCCGTATCCGTTCAGTTCCGTGACGTTCCATCAGTGTCAGTGATTCGAAATATTCTTCTGTTGTTTTTGAATGGGCATGCGTTCGCACACGTCCGACACCGCTCCGTGACGATATTGATACGGTACGGATACGGAACTGACGCGTTACGGATACGTGTAAATAGACCTTTAACGCTATCGATACGTGAGTCGCGTGACCCTAGAACAATCACAAAAGTGCAATCTATCGATTTACAGATAAGAGCGTTGTTCTGGTTGTTCTAGTGTCACCGTTCGTTTTCAGAAACCATAGACGTACAGGATGCGACGGGCCCCGTTCCCTTAAATAACTTGTAGATTGTCCGTTGTGTGAAATGCGGTAAAGTTGCGTGGTCTCGAGAAGGGCGTTACAATTTCTCTTTAAAAAAAAAAAAAGGAGACGCGTCTCGAATGCTCGAAACGCTTTCACCTACGATAAAGGTACGCAAGCTGCGTAATTGCCTGGCTCGATACGATGCAAGTTTTACGTGGCACAAGTTTTCATGGAACGCGTAACGTGGAAATTATTCACAGCAGAGCATGTTAGGTGACTCCGGCCGTGTAATTAGCTTCGGTGTATCGAGCTTTGTAGCCGTGCGAAAAGTTTCATTAAAGAATCAGCGTTACACCTGGGGGACTTGTTAGTGTCTCGTCTGAAAGAGAGCGTTGACGGCGCGCCTTCCCCCTTGGACTTCAGGCCGATTGTAGCGATTAATCGTTGCAATTAGACCGCAGCAATTAATATCGCAGCGATTCCCGAACGGACACGCGCCAACGCGTCCATCGAAAACTCTCGATCATCAAATTGCGACGATTAATCGTCCCTGCGATCGGGCGAGACAATCACCCGAGAGAATTAATCTCGCGTTGCACACGGGAGACCAGGTGCCAGCATAATCGCGTTACGAGATAATGAGCGACGAATTTAATTAACGTCGCGGGGAACACGTTAGATGAATTTGCTGGAAATTGGCCACGCAAGGAAAGCGAGGATTAACAAATCGATTCAAGGCGATGAGCAGAGATCCTTTCCTGGCTCGAGAAGGCCGGGTTAATCATTTAAAAAACGAATTTTTCGAATAGAAATTTCGCCTCAACGACGAACGAAAAAAAGTTAAGGAAAAGGGGTACTTTTAAGCCGTGACCTATCGACTGGTAGCTTATCTACTTTAAAGCAGCAGCTCGGGACGGTATTATTCCCTTAAATATCTGCACGTATATAGACTTCGTTCAGTTTTCCTTTTCTTGTATTTTTTTCCATTTTCGGCTATTCATATAGCGCGCTATATCTAGCGACACCCGCGGAAGTGTTTTAATATCTTCCTTTATTTTCTCTCGGAGAATGGACTGCCGGATCGATTGCTCACGCGGACGACGTAAAACTTTTATCGTGCGGATATTCCGCAATTCCGCGGAGCAAGAAACCGAGTGTTTCGAAAGACTCGCGGGGCGACCCACTTTTTCAGTAACGATCACACTTTGTTCGGTCTGAAAATCATTCCTCGTCTGACCTGCTTTCCGCTGGCCAGATGACTAACCAATGTTTTTCGACGTGCGTGGCCCACATAGGGAATCTCTTCAATCGGTCCTCGACGCCAACTTTCGTGACACACGTTTCAAACCAGTCACCTTCGATTACGCTTCGTTGCAAAATTTTTAGGAACGTTGAAAAATTAACGATTCCGATTAAAGTTACGATCTATTATACCGACGAAATTAAAGAAATGAATTTTCTTTACATACATAATCGAGTCATCAGCGAAAAGTTCACCCCTGGCGTGATTTTATCTAGCGTTTCATCTATTGGGCTGTCTGGAAAATCCATGGCAATTTTTAGTAGGCGATACAGGTCTGAATAGTATATCGGAATGGCTGAAAACAAATAAAATGTGCACATT